ATGCTTCATGTCAGACGGGGCCCAACCTTCTGGCTGGGGGTTATGTGGTCAACGGGTCGTGGATTCAAGCAAGGAGTAAATGTTAAAATTGCCTTATTAATGTCTTCCGAAGCCGCAAATGTCAGGCTCCAGGAGACCGTGTAAGATTCCATCCCTAAAGAGGCCAGAAGCTTGGTTTTACTGCTCACAAGCTCTGTGAACACCTGCCTGGAGACAGTGGCCTTGTGTCCGGCCTCCTCCTTGTGTTGGCCACCCCGCGGGGTTCAGCGTGCGGCCTGACCCCCCTGTAGGGGTGCCCCAGAGCTCCCATTTCCCTCCCAGCCCATGGGCAGAGGGGTCCTGACTGTGAAGTGAGGTGGGGCTTGACCGGAGTGGGAGGGGGCAGCCCAGCCCTGTGTCTCCCACAACGTGTGTCGTGTTTACAAGGTAACCGACTTCTCTTCTGCATGGAAAACATCGCGTCTCTAGCTCATGATCTTTTGGTTTATGTAATAATTCTAGTCCCTGAAGAAAGAACAGGAGTTTGCAACGAACGGAACGGACACAAACTGACTGCAGAACACCCCCGCCTGTGCTGGGGTCTCTCTCTTCCTGGTCTTCCGATTAATTCAGAGGATGATCTGTGGTCACCTTCTGGCCCTCGGTTCTGAATCGGGGTGCTGGGCTGGCCATTACGACTTCCTTTAGGAGACGAGCCCCCTCGGGTGGCATGCGTCCGCTGCCGTGTGTGGTCAGTGAGCGCTGCTGCCCAGAGCATTACTCTCCCCGCTAATGCTCCGCATCACCCTGCAGGTGGGTGCTCTTTCTAACCCATTTGATGGTTGAAAAAATGAAACCCACAGGTGGGGAGAGGAACCAGTCACCGAGGCCACGTGGTGGGCGAAGGAAGAGCCGCTGGATTGGAACGCCAGCCCCATCGAGGGCCGGCCACGTTCCTGCCCCTCTGCCGGGCCCCTGGGCCCCCCTGAGCCTCTTCCCGTGTCCTGCTGCCCCAGACCTGTGTGGGGCTGAGGCTGCTGTGATCATCACATGAAGTGGCTGTGGCTCTGAAAATGCAGGCCCTGCCGCTGGCAGGGGGTGCGGGACTGAGCACCTTGGGACCTGGCTTTTGTTCCGCCTTGATTTCTGCAGCTTCCTTTGTCTTGGTCCCTTCTCTCCTCAAAATAATTCTTAAGGACTCAGAACTTTCATTGTTAATTAAAAATGACCACTGCCCCATCCCTTGTCCACAGCCGCCCCTCGCACCTGTCTGCGCCGCATCTGGATCGCTGGTGATGCCGACAAGACCCCAGTTTCACTCTTGCTCTTCCTTCAGGAGGGCCCTGCAGGCCTGGCAGCGCTCTGACCCCCTCCTGACTCCACGCCTTGTCCTCCCTCCCTGTCTCCACACCATCTTGTGCCTCAGATCTTGCTGCATCTCTGCTGCTTCATTTATTTTCCTCTCTTTTTTTCTCTTTTGCTATTTTAGTTGTTTTTTTAATTGAAGTTCAGTCAGTTACAATGTGTCAGTTTCTGGTGGCCAGCGTCCTGTTTCAGTCACGTATGTGCATACATACATTTGTTTTCATATTTTTCATTACAGGCACCACAAGGCATTGAATAGAACTCCCTGTGTGTTTTTCTCTCTCAAAACAGTTGAGGCCATTCTTTTCCTGAGAATACGTTCTCAGCCTCCGCTTCCTCAACTAATCCTCTGGTGTCTCCTCTGCCCCCGTCTCTCTGGCCCTGGCTGCGTCCTTGCGCCCGTGCGGGCACCTGCCCGTGCTGGGATGCGCTCCGCCCTGGGGCCTTGCCCTGCTGGGCTGTCCCTGTCTCTCCGGCTCCTTTGCTTCGCGCGCCTGTCCGGGATCCTCAGCCCCCGCCTTGGCAGACACCCAGCACTGCTTGCAGGGACTTACCTCATTCCTGCTCTTAGAGCTGATGTTAGCCGTTAGCAAAGCCTCTCAGCTGTGCTCTCCACTTCCGAGAATTTCAGGTTTCTTTTCTTTCCTTTTTAATTCTGTCTCCATTTAGAATAAAGCGCTAAAAACGTTTTGAGTTGAGAGAACGAGTGCATCTACTCCTTCATCGCAGTCTAGGTTGATTCTGGAACAGTTTTAAGAAAGTAAACCGTGGTCACAGGTGCTCTCCCAGGACAGTGGTTTCCCTCTGGTGTCTTTCTGGAGCATCGCCACGCCGTGGGCACAGCACTGGCGGTCATCTGTGTAGCTCGGTGTCTGCTGCACACCTGGCTTGTCCTGAGCACAGCAGGGAAGGGGGAAGGGCGATCGCCGTGGTCAGATGTGTCTCCAGTTCAAGGTGAGTGTGAATGAGCAGGAAGCCTCCCAGTGGGCCGTTGCTATTTCAGCACTCCATGATAAGCGTCCTGTTAAAGATTAACTTTCCCTGCTCCTCTGCAAACTGGCCAGTGAGAGCTGCAGATCTGGGGCCCAGAGGCCTGCAGCCTGTGAAGGGTGGCGGGGCAGTGTGTCCCTGGACAGGTGCTCCAGCAGGAAGGGCAGGTACCTGGCACGGGCCGGCGGTGGCCCCTGGTCCTGGTTGCCTCTCAAGGGAGCCGCTTCCTTCTCCCACCGTGTCCAGTCCTGCCTCTGTGTCCCCATCAGCCGCCCGGTCACGTGACCCCAACGCCAGCGCGTAGTCCTGCAGCTGCATACGGTCCACAGGAGTCACGTGGGCAGTGAAATTAACTGGCTGTTTTACTGGGAAAGAACCAATCCTAACTGGGTGGATTGTTTTGAAGTCTGGTTATGGGGTGTGTATGGGTTTAGAGTAATGGTGAGGTGAAAGCTTTAATTCGTACATTTCACAAATACTTACCGGGGGCCTGCTGGAGCCTAGGCGTGAGGCCAGCTTCGGGGGATTTGGCGGTGGGTGTATTGGAGCACAGATGGGCAGTGAGTGCATCACCTCGGCCGTTGGGGGCCTCGGGAGAGGGCCTGTGGGGCCCCGGGGAGCAGGTCAGGGTGAATGGCTCCAGCCCGGGAGGCAGAGGCAGCCTTCCTCCGAAAATTGAACCCAACCCCGAGCTCTCACTGATGTTGTGAGTTCTGTATCTGAAGGGGGTTCCGGGTTCAGATGCTTTTGACAGGATCCTCCCACCTGCACATCCCACCAGCAACTCGTGTGCTCACCTGCAGAAGTGACTCAGAGGAATACTGTGCAGGTGGCCCGGCCCCTCCTCCACGGGCTGGGCCCTGGCACACGTGGCTGGGAGGCAGCAGAGGGCAGAGGTCAAGGGCCTGGACTCTGAAGTCAGATTGCTCGGGTCCAAATCCCTGCTGGGCCGTCAGCAGCCTTACATCTGGGGCAAGTTAATGAACACCTCTGTGCTTTCCTTTTCTCAACTGTCAAGTGTGGATAATAATGGTACCTGCTTCACAGGGTTGCTTGGAAGCTAAAATGAGTGAATCTGTACAAAAGACCCCCTCCTGGTGCAGAGAACGCCCCGTGTGACTGCCGGATGCCACGTGGGCACTGTTACTGCTCTGTAACTCATTCTTGGAAAATGCTGGGTGAGTCCGGCCAGTTTTACGTCTTTAATGGGTTGCAACACAACTTGAAAAATGCTGCTTAGGTGGTAGGAATCTTCCAGGTTTGCAGAGGTTGGGGGGGCAGGGCGGCCTGTCATGGACTCCTGACGCAGTTAGGACCTTATCCTAACTTTGGGAAGCCATTGAAGGGACTGGCTTGATAAAATTTACATTTTTTTAAGAAAATTAAAATTTTTAATTTTAAAAATTAAAAGGGCTGAACCAGAGAGAATACAGGACCTCTGCTGGGCCGCTGTTGGAAGAATCCTGCTCAGAGAGGGCGGTGGCTGAGGGGACAAAGATGTGGCATCTCTTTCTCAGGAGGAGCCCAGGGGTCTTGCTTATTTGATTGGATGGAAAACAACAGGAGGGAAGGAACCCTGAGAAGTAATTCCCAGGTCGTGGCCCCATCAGCTGGGCAGAGAGTCACCCGGAGGAGGTTCAGATTTGGAGGACGCGGGCCGCGCTGACCCTGGCGTTTACCTGTCTGCAGGTAAACGCGCAGGCGACGCGGGCCAAAGGGGGAGGCCTGGCAGTGCTGAGGTCTGGGAGCTGAAGGTGCAGGAGGTTACTCTTGTGCCCCCACAGTGTCCGTGGACGGGCTGCCTGGGAAACGTGTGTGGGGAAGGGGCGCAGAGGCCGCAGCTGTGAGGACCCTTCGGATGCCGGGGCTCAGCGTGGGGACTCAATCAGCAGGAGGAGATGCTGGCGACCAGGAGAGGCCGCCGCAGGGAGAGGAGGACAGACGAGGGCGGCCATCAAAGCCAGGGCAGGAGTGCGATTCTTTACTTTATTTTGTTTTACTTTTTTCTTTTCTGTTTTGTTGAAGTATATGGTTGCTGTACAGTGTTATGTAAGTTACAGGTGTACAATATAGGGACTCAACCATTTTTAAGGATTCTACTCCCTTCTGTAGTTATTATAAAATACTGTGCCTGATGCCATGTTGTACACTATATTTTTGTAGTCTGTCTTACACCCAATAGTTGTACCTCTTAATCCCCTCCCTCTAGCTCACCTCCCCCTCTGGTCACCTCTAGTTTGTTCTCTGTATCTGCTGCTTTAAAGAATGAAATTCTGCCATTTGCAGCAGCGTGGATGGACTCGGAGGCCATTGTTAAGCTGAGTGAAATAAGTCAGGCAGAGAGAGACAAATACTGAGTGCTTTCATTTAAACACGGCATCTGGAAGATACAGCAGACTAGGAGTGTGCGCCTTAGGAATTAGAAGGATGTGCACAACGGTGCTCCCGCTGAGAGGCCACCAGTGCTCGTGTGCTCACAGCCTTGGCTGCAGGGGACCTGCTGACGTTCGGAGAGGTCCCTGGACCATACGGCACGGTGGCCATTGTTCCGTGCTGTACTTGAGTGTCTCCGTGTGACTTCAGCACAGACAGAACCTCCTGATGCTAATGCTTGTTCCACGTTAAAGAGATCATATATCAGCTCCTGTTTTAAGAGGGGAGGTGGGGGAGGCTGTAGCTCAGGGGTGGAGTGCGTGCTTAGGGTGCACGAGGTCCTGGGTTCAATCCCCAGCACCTCCATTTAAAAAAAACTAAAACCACAAGCACAAAATCCTGTGCCAGATTTCCGTGGTTCAGCAGTAAAAGTGGTGTGTTAAGTGGCATGTGAATTCCAACTTCAGGCTTTCACAAGGGATTGTGGAAATCAGGGTGGGAGGAATTGATTTTTTTCAGCAAGCCATTGCCTGGCTGTCAGCTGGGGGGACGGTGCCTGGAATGGCTGGTCTTGGTGTCTGGGGGTCCTCTTTCCCTCGGGGGGAGAGTTTACCTCCCTCTATCTCAGCTCGTCCGTGTCCCCCATGGGCAGTGCGGGAACAAGCCAGCGGGTACTGATGACTCCACTGCAAAGTGACAACAGTGCCTCCTCCAGCCTCCTCTCCCACTTACGCAACAAGGACAGTCCTCAGGTCACAGAAGGGGGCAGCTTCATCAAAGCGCCAGCTTTAAAATTACCTTGTGTGGAAGCCTTCTTTTGTTTGTTTTTTTGAACATCGTGACATGGAGCCACTGGGATGCAGCAGCAGCGGCCTGCGCTCCGGACCGCCGCTGTTTCCCCAGGACTCATGAGGGCTTCCATCCCTGTGGCTTCAAAATTTTTTTAGTAAACTGCGATTTGCAGATATCTTTTGTTTTTCAAGGCAACCCTGCTCATGTTTTATGTTCCATCCAAGGGGCTGTGATGTTCCCAGAACGTTCGAACCAGTAATGGGTTTATATGGGCCGTTGAATCAGTTATTGAGCGCGCCCGTGATTTCAGTCCGTTGGGCCCTTCCCGGAGGGGCCCTGGCTGGGCTCTGCCTGTTTGCATCACACTTTAAAACCTTGTTATTATTTTTACATGCATTTTTAATGTCACGAATCATTCTGTGGATTCTCTACTTTATAGTCATGGTTGCATTCAGAAACATTTCAGCTAGATTTCTTTCTGGGAATTTATTTCCCAGGAAAGAGTGGAATTATGTGTATTTCCTGCTGTGACACAGGTTTGACTTCTGTTATGTTTCCGGTAACATCATAAACTAAGTAATTGTTAAAAAGCAGAAAACGTAACTACTTATCTATTGTTTGGTCAGAGTTAGAAACAATAACCAGACTTTAGAAGATTATTACTAAGATTTGAGGTCTATCTTCTCATTTTTAATGAACAAGTAGGAAAAAATATATAAGACGTTTTCCTATGGAACTCATTTTTGGTAAAGTCCCCTGTTTAAATACAGCTTTATCCCTATGGGTCTCGGTGTCTTTATTGTCAGTTTGACGTGTTCACCTGCAGAGTGGACCCCTGTCTGTTTAGTCTGGCAAAACTCCTTTGAACGTTGTTTTCCTTGTGAGCTGGAGGTTGTCTAATTCACTAAGGCAGAGTTTTCATACTATTTCCAGGTAGTCTGGTCAGCAGTGGAAAAGGGTATTTTCTTCCTGAAGGGTCCGCTGTGGTCCTGAGTGCGCGCAGCTGAGAGACAGCGGCTGATTAGAGAGAAACGCTGTTAACAGCCGGGCGACAGGAGGTGTGCGGTGGCGTCCTGCCCCCGGCCGGAGGGATGCCCCCGAAGTGCCAGGAGCAGTGAGGGGAGAGGAAGCTGGCTCTGACTCCAGGCTGTTGTTTCTCCTTGTCTTTCTGCCGACAGCCTCTGCCAGCTGGAACGGCGGTGCTGGCTGAGTAGGGGGCTTCATCTCGGTGGGTGCTCTGGTCATCTCTGTCAGAGTGGCCCTTCCCTTCTTGGGAGGCCGTCAGCCTCCTCCTGCCCTCCAGTGCCCACCGTGGGCTGACCGAGGGGGCGCCTTGAGAGAAAGCTGGCTGCTGGGAGTGGAGGGCTGGAGCGGTCGGGGTGTCGATGTGAACACAGGATCATTTGCAAAGACGCTGCGAAGAACAGTCTCCTTTTGTCAGTGGGGGATCTGAACACATGGGGAGAAGCGCTGCTTCTCGCCTCCTTACCTCCAGGATCTCATCTGTGAGACAGCGCTCTGGTTGTGGCGCAGGCCCACGTGACTGGATTAAACGAGGCATGGTTTGTATCTCTCTAATTTCAAGGAAGTCTCCAGACCGGCCATCCATGGTCATGTGGTGGCCTCATTGTCAGCAGAGTCACTGCCTCCTTTTCTCTCGGCCGTCCTAAACGCAGGTTTCCTTATTTTCTTAATTGTGGCAAAGCATTCATAACATTTACCATTTGAGTCATTTTTAAGTGAACTGTTCAGTGGCGTTAAGTGCGTTCATGTTATTGGGCAACTGTCACCACCGTCTGTCTCCAAAAGTCTTTTCATCTTATGAAATGGAAACTCTCCCCTTTAAACAGCAACTTCAAGTTCTCCACCCCGGCCAGCCCCAGCACCATCCTT